CTCGAGGGGTTTGAAATGGGGTGCCTTAGTCTGATTCTTTCATTTTCTCTTTTATCTTAAACTCAGTGAGGAATTTTGATGTGACCCTCAGCCAAAAGTTGTTTGCAAACTTTGCATTGCAATTTGTACCTAACATACTCTTTTTCCGGATTTTTTTAATTCTTCTTTCTTTTTCAATTTTTGCGCCGGGGGTCATGCAGAGCTGGGCACCTGAGCGTGTATCCGGGCACGAGTTGGGTGCACGGACGCCCGGGAAAACTCCCAAGGATTGAAGTTATCATTGAACTGATTTGGATAACTTCTCAATTCATGTGGAGAGTTCAAGTCTTCCAAGCATGGGCCTATAGCTCAGTTGGTTAGAGTATACGACTGATAAGTTTAAATTCAGTAGTTCAAATCTACTTAGGCCCACTCTGCTCCGCTGGCGAGCCACACTCACAGGAGCATTTTCTTTTCTTTTATTTGATTTTCTTTCCTTCGGCCTCTCATCTCACGGCGAGCGCACCACAAAGTGAATTGATCGCGTCTGGACTTCGTGTCCAACATGTCTTGCTGCACTTCGTGCCTGGAGCTGTGATGCAAGACCCCTGGCGCTTATACGCGATGAGGCGGCTCGAAGAGCGGTCGTTTTTGGGGAAGCATACCCTGCGGCCCTTCGTCCCTCTGCCTGCTGTTGGTCAAAACCAGCTAGGCCGTTCAGACTTTACCACTTCTCCTCCTTCTGGCATATATATATGGATTTTCGATTCCAATGCGGTTGGTTGGTTCGGTCGAGCATATGGTCGCTTTATCTGGATGATACTATACATAATACTATGATTGACTGTGTCGAAGAATTGTGCCCTTGGCCTCGGGCTGTGTGTGCACTTGCTTGGGTCTAGACGAGAGAACTGAGATTCGTGGTTCACTTCGTGATTCTATCCTGTCACTCTGTTACACATTGTGTCACACGGGCCTGGGTAGGCCCGGAAGATTGGGGTTCAGGGGCCGGTCCAGGCCCAAGGCTGGACCTTTACCACGGCGGAGCCATTCTAGGCCGCCGGTTGGCCGTTTTAGGTCACTTACGGACCAGACCCGACAGGCAGGCCCAAAAGACATTACCGTTTGGGCCTGGCGGCGCTCTTGAGGCTGCCGCCCGCTGGTCTGATCTGAATCGTCGATCTGGACGATTCAGATCATGGCCAGGCCTCGCAGCATTGAGGCCGGCCTCTTTTCCACCAGTACTTAATACCGGTCTGGCCTCATTGTGGGAGATCGAGCACTGGGACGCTGCTGAGCGCCAGGTGTTTCGGTTCAGAGCGGAGCAGCGGCATTGCGAGGAGCGCTGCGCTATTTTGGTTAGCGCACAGCGTTGGAGACAGCAGCGCTATTCTTAGCGCTGGACTGCACAGGAGTTGAGGAGCAGTGGGGAACTTACCTGGCACTTACCTGAGGCGCCATAGAGGCTTGGATTCGGGACAGGACAGCGAGGTTATTCCTCCTCCCTACCTCACCATCTTCTCCTCCTCCTCTTCCACCTGGCTCTTCTTCTTCTTCTTCTTCTTCTTCTTCTTCTTCTTCTTCTTCAGACTTCTTCTTCTTCTTCAGACTGGAGACTTGATACTAGTTGGACAGAGACCAGTGTTTGACTTCGGTGGAAAGAGGCTGTGGTACTTACCGGATTCGAGACTTGGAGATTGTTGGGGTTGATACTCGGCGGCATCACAGATTGGACACCGGTTACATTAGGACTCTGTATCTCCAACATTGGTGACTTATTGTCCATGACATTTTGATCTTGTTCGATGACATTTTGGACTACCATATCGGTGACCTACTGGATTCTATCTTGGTGACATCTGGCGCTGCCTACATCTCCCACCTCCTTCGTCTCTCCTCAAACCTTTCATCTGTGTATGATTGTACTGCAATCAGATTCGTTTTCAAACACACTTTTCACACATGTAAACAGTAACGCAGCACACTGGCGACATGCGCCCACTCAAAACTCAGAGATATGGCTTCAGATACGAGTTCACTCTCAAATGGCTATGGCGACTTCAGCGCCCAAACATCTCACTGTTCACAT